CAAAATCCCCAGGGTAGGGCTGAAATCTAGTACACGGTGAGGTCCTTCATCTGTTACCTGCCCATAGTTCCACTTACTCACTGAGTAGTGCCCTGAGCCCCTGAGTCCCCCCAGGATTCTATGAGTACCCCCCAACCAAGACTGTCAAGACACTCCAGAGAACCCTGCAGACATTGCAGGCCGTCCAAGACCCCACAAGACCCTCCCTGCAACTGGGCACATGGCTCTGCACCTCAGCCCAGGGAAGAAATGCCCCACGTATTGGATCAGCCTAGGAAGTAATGTCAAAACAATAATAAAAATACAGTATTTTATTAGATTTATCATTTTCCCATTACAACTAGGCAATGTATGGGAAAACTAAAGGGTTGGGGGAAAATGAGCTCTAGCCTGACAAAGCTCAGCCCAGCTTTGGTGGGGTCACCGGCTGTGCCACCTCATCACTAGAATTCTTCTCATTCTCACTAAGAGGTGTTTGGGGTGGGGGAGGAAGGCATTTGCTGCTGCTGGAGCCCCCAGCCTCTGAGGAATCTGGGTGGAAAAGAGGCAATTTCTGTTCAGTCAGACTCTCAGGGGTGTCCTGTTCACCCAAAAACCCTGAGGTCGGTGTATTTGTGTCCCCCAGCACAGGCTGCTCCCTGGTGTGGGTGCACATGTGCTGGGTGTGGTAGGAGCTGTGGCTGAAGCTCTTGCTGCAGATGTCTCATGCAAAGGGCTTCCCACCACTGTGGGTGTGCATGTGCCGGGTGAGGTGGGACTTTCTGGTGAAGCTCTCACTGCAGCCACCACAGACGTATAGCTTCTCCCCAGTGTGGGTGTGGCGGGGCTGGGTGAGTGTGGACCTCCGACTGAAGCTCTTGCTGCACTTGTCACAGACATAGGGTCTCTTGCCAGGGTGGGTGTGTTGGTGTTGGGTGAGGTTGGCCTTGGTGGTAAAGCTCCTGCTGCAGGTGTCACAGACATAGGGTCTCTCACCAGTGTGGGTGCGGCAGTCCTGGGTGAGTATGGACCTCTGAGTGAAGCTCTTGTTGCACTTGTCACAGACATAGGATCTCTTCCCAGTGTGGGTGTGGTGGTGCTGGGTGAGGTTGGCCTTGGTGGTGAAGCTCTTGCTGCACTTGTCACAGGCAAAGGGTCTCTCTCCAGTGTGGGTTCGGCGATGCTCGGTGAGGTCTGATTTCTGGGTGAAACTCTTCCCACAGTCTCACAGACATAGGGTGTCTCCCCAGTGTGGGTGCGGCAGTGCCGGGTGAGGTTTGACCTGTTACTGAAGCTCTTACTGCACTTGTCACAGGGAAAGGGCTTCTCACCAGTGTGGGTCTGTATGTGACGGGTGAGTGTTGAGCTGTCAGTGAAGGCCTTGCAGCAGAGGTTGCAAGCAAAGGTCTCCTTGATGGTGTGGGTGTGGCAGTACCTGTTGAGGTTGGACTTCTTGGTGAAACTCTTGCCACAGTCACTGCAGACATACAGGCTTTTGCTGCTGCGCGTCTGCGTGTGTCTCACCAGGTCAGAGCACTGGCTGAATGCCCCCCGGCC